ATGTCACAGGAAGAGTATTGAGACTGGTTTCTGTTCCAGCCTGCCCTCCTTGCTCAGTCTATGTGGTCAGCATTTCCACACAGCCTCTGCTGGTACTCTCTACTTCCTTAAACTGGAGTCAATCTGAATCTCCCCCACCCCGCTGAAGTCAACATCCCTTCTCAAATCTTTGTTCCTAGGTTTCAGTGATTTGTTAATGAGATAACTGATCCGACCCACTGTAATTTCACGCAATTTAACTTCATTCTTAAATTCATCATCAATTTTTCTCCTAAGAAATCTCCCATAATACTTCCAAAGCTTACATGATCTCTCTGAGCAATGTGTCTTGGCTGCCCCGCTCTATCCTGGGGCACCGTGCAGCAAAGAGGTGCAAAACCATGAAATTTGGAGTCAGAAAAAAGTTTAAATTTAGGGTCAGCAACTGAATGTCTTTGTGGCTTTGAGTTAGGCACGGACCCCTACAGATCTCAGTTTCCTTATTTCTACAGTGGGAGTGTTGTTGAAAACCAGCCTCTGTTCTCGGGAGCTGAAATATGTAACATGAAGACAGTTTGGATGGAAAGAAGGAAGAAAATTTATTACTTTGCCAGGCACAGGAGGGCTGCAGCAGGCTAATGCCCGGGGTAAAAGGCTGAGGGGTTTTATAAGAAAGTACAGGATCTGGGTGGTTTCCATGGGAATCTGGAACGTGCTGCTAGCCAAGTGTCACGTCTTCAAGGTGGTCTCATGACCAGCGCTGCCACCTGCCATCAGAATCTCGTTACTAAGTATACATCGAGGTCAGCGAGATGTCAATATCGATACCGAGTTCCTGGAACAAAGGAGTCTACAGAAAAACAAGTGTGTGGAGGGTGCTTCAAGAGTGAGGAAGAGAGAAACGTGTTCAGTTTGAAGTTAAGCCTTGCTGAAGCCCTAGTGTGTTCATCTTAATTTCCATCCATCTTTAGGTTTGTTTTTTTTTTTTTTAAGATTTTTTTTAAATTTATTTGTCAGAGAGAGAGAAAGTGAGAGTCAGCACAAGCAGGGGGAGCGGCAAGCAGAGGGAGAAGCAGGTTCTTTGCTGAGCAAGGACCCTGACTCGGGACTCGATCCCAGGACCCTGGGATCATGACCTGAGCTGAAGGCAGATGCTTAACCCCCCGAACCACCTAGGCGTCCCATCTTTACGTTTCTACGGTGGTTTCAGGAGCAAGGATATTTGCTGTGTCTGCTGTCATGAGGACTGGACTTTTTAATTTCAAAGCGAATATTTTTTAGTTTGTAAAAAACATAATTGGCTCTGCGGTTTCATTTTGTTGTATCCTTCCTTCTCTCTTTTCTTTCCATAATGCTCTTCATTTTTTTTTTTTTATGGTTTCAACTTCTTTTTCTCTTTGAACAATCCAGAATACTTTCTTAAAAATCTCTCTTTCAATCAAAAACTAATGATGTAATGTATGGTGGTTAACATAACAATAAAAAAATTATTAAAAAAAAAAAATCTCTCTTTCAGATTGGGGCACCTGCCTGGCTCAGTTGGTGCAGCATGAGACTCTTGATCTCGGGGTTGTAAGTTCGAGCCCCACATTGGGTGTAGAGATTACTTAAAACTAATAAAAAAAAATCTTGGGCTGCCTGGGTGGCTCAGTCGGTTAAGTGCCTGCCTTCAGCTCAGGTCATGATCTCAGGGTCCTGGGATTGACTCCTCATCAGGCTCCCTGCTCAGTGGGGAACCTGCTTCTTCCTCTCCCTCTGCTGCTCCCCCGTCTTGTGCTCTCTACTCAAATAAATAAATAAAATCTTTAACAAATAATAAAAAATCTTTAAAAAAATCTCAAATTGTTCTATTATCTCTTATTTGCGGGGCACAATTTCTCTCATTTAAAGAAATAATTGGCAACTGCCCCTTTTGATGGATTGTTTCTGGTGCAGCTTATAATTTTTGACTTTAAGCTTCTCTTCCATGAAGAGTGTTTTCTGTGGGTGCCCCACGTGGCCTAGATTGGAGTACCCTGGAGTTTTGTTACTCGAGGATCAACCTCTCCTCTGCTCAAAGATACTGTTCCGCAGTTATTTCTTCCCTCCCATGCCTTTCAAGTTTGTCCTCCCTGCTGGATCATTCCACTCAGCATATAATCATGCTGTAATACCTCCTAATTTGTCTCGTTTTGCTATTTCCCTTTATAGCAAAACTTCTTGAATGACTTGTCTCTATTTGTTGCTCCAATTTTTCTCTATTGAAGTGTTCCATTCAGGCTTTCTCCCTTCTCTGCTACTCTTGCTAAGGTCACCAGTGATTCCCCTGTTGCCGAAACCAATGGTCAATTCTCAGTCCTCATCATACCTTTGATCACTAGCTTTTGATCCAGTTGATTACTGCCTCCTTCTCTTTTTTTGAACATTTTGTAGTTGGGCTCCAGAACATCAGTCTGTCTTTGTTTTCCTCCTATCTCAGTGCCCCTTGATCTCTTTCTCCATTGATGGATCCTCCTTATGTCCTTGACCCTAACATGTTGATGTGTCCCAGGACTCACTCCTCATACATCTTCTCTTATTTTCACTCGTTGTCTCAGGACTTGGGCATTTGTCATTTCCTGTGTCTGGAAAGATTCTCCAGATACCCACAAGCTTTGCTCCTTCACTCAGAAGTTCTGGGTTCTGAGTCATTTTATCAGTTAGCTCTTCCCTGATCATCCTATTAAACTACACTCCATCCCCTAACACTGTCCATCCCTCACACCTTGATTTAATTTTCTCCACAACACTTATCATTATCCAACATACTTACTATTATTTGTGTATCTATTTATTGGCCAACTCTTTCACAAAACATAAATCCTCTGAGGGCAGGAACCTTATCTGTTCAGTTCACTGTTGTATCACCAGCTGTTGGAACAGTGTTGGGCATGGGAGGCATCTGATAAATATTTACTGAATGAGTGAGTGAATAAATGAATGGAAAGAGATGATATATTTCCATCACTTCCTAGACTGAGATAGATATCTCTCGACTTTCAAAATATATTTTTTAGTTGTTCAGTCTGTTCAGAAAGAAGGGAAATTTCATGTGCCAGTTTATTTTTATTTTTTATTTTTTTAAGGTTTTATTTATTTGAGAGAGAGAGTGAGCACAGAGGAAGAGGGAGAGGGAGAAACAGGCTCCCCGCTGAACAGAAAGCTGGACATGGGGTTCCATCCCAGGACCCCGAGATCATAACCTGAGCCGAAGGCAGACGCCCACAAAACTGAGCCACCCAGGAGCCCCTATTTTTTTTTTAAGATTTTTTATTTATTCATTTGAGAGAGAAAGAAAGAGACAGCATGAGCAGGGGGGATGGTCAGAGGAAAGGGAGAAGCAGACTCCCCGCTGAGCAGGGAGCCCGATGTGGGACTCAATCCCAGGACCCCGTGATCATGACCTGAGCCGAAGGCAGATGCTTAACCGACTAAGCCACCCAGGTACCCCTCAAGTTGCCAGTTTATAAAGAAATTATTAAACTACTAAGTGTCAATTCCATGTCAGAAGCCATCTACCAAGGTTAGAGTTCTCACCCTGAGCTTCACGGGTTCTGAGAATGGGCTTCAGAGCTCTGTGAATGCCCTAAAAATGTTGTAGATGTGTATGTGCATTTTCCTTGGGAAAAGATTTATAGCTTCCATCAGAGTCACACACTATCTGTGACCCAACTAAAGGTTTTGAATTATTATCTTCCTTGGGTATTGATCAACTAAAAGCTAAAACGTTGGAAGATAAAAACTCATCATCTTCCTTTCCAAAGTCTCTTGACTTTCTTAGAAGCAAAGCCCTTTGTGTCAGGAGAAACAGCCACTGCAGGCATCCTTTTAAAATGTTCCTAATAAATTGCTACCCTGCTGCTTCAGAAACTCATAAAGTAGCATTGTTAGACAAGTCCACGTTAGAAATTTCCACTTGGGTTAAGCTGAGACAGTTTTCACACGCTGGGTCTTGTTCAGGCCCTGGGACCTAGAAGAACATGTTAAATCCCCTTTTCCACTGGTTGGTTTCTCAGATTTGTAAAGATAGCATGATTCACACCTCGTCCCTCTTCCAAAGCCTTATTTCTTCAGACGAGATGTCTCCAATTTCTCTAAACGTGGGCCAGGGCAGCTCACCACACTGCAACTCCGTTTCTGAATGCTCCCCAGTTCGCCAATAGCCCAAGACTGAACACACATAGGATACACACAGGAGTCCGGTCTTGCAAATTTGTACCCGATACTTGTACCAACGCTGCTTAGTATCACAAAACGACTGTTGCCCCCGAGGGCAGCATGGATGTGGAAAAGAGACAGGTGGAGAATAGAGAGGGGGGAGGTGGAGAGACGAGGCAAAATCATAGCACTTCTCGACTTCTGGCCTGCGGGAAAGGGAAGGCGGAGGGGAGGGAGGATGACAAATATGTTGAAGCAGAGAGTCTGGGGGAGGCAGAAGGAGGAAGACAGACAGACAGAAGGGAGGCGAAGGTGGGACAGGTTAGCTAGCACCTCGCTGAATTCCAACACAAGGAGGTGGAAAGAAAGCGCTAAGGAAATGAGGAGTTGGTGTGAGTTGGAGCAGCAAGACAGAGAGAGGTCGGGGTAAATCAAATGCTGCAGGGAGGCCAAAAAGGGGGGGAAGGGCAGCGAGCAGACGCCCCGCCCGAGCACCTGGGGTACTGGCAGAGTCGCCAAGGTGTGGGGCTGACGCAGGGTCTGCGACACACAAGGGGATTATCTTGGTGGACCGTCGCAGCGCTTGGCCCAGTGCCTGGCCCAGAGGAGGGGCTCACTAACAGACCGCTTGGTGACAAGCGAAGGAGCAAATGCACCAATCTGGAATGAATGACCCAAGCTTCCGCTGCGGGCGACCGGGAGCAGCCTCGGTGCCTGGAGGACGCGGGCGGGGCGGGGCGACACGGGCGGCCAATGGGAGCCCGCGCCTCAGCTCCGGCCCCGCCCCCAGCCCGCCGCGCCGACGCCGGCGCGGCGGCCGCGGCGCGCGCAGTCGCCCGCCTCCAGGAAGTGCGCCCGGAGTCGGCGTCGCGGGCCGAGGTGAGCGCGCGCGGGCTGGGCGGGCCCGGCTGCGGCCGCCCGGGATCGGGCGTGACGCCGCCAGTTTCCGCGCGGGGGCTCGGCTGGGCCCCCGGGAGCAGCGGCGGGGCTGGCGGACGCGCGCCCGACGGTTTCGGAGGGAGCGGGGACGCGGCGGGTGCGGGGGAGGGGTGGCGGGGCCGAGGGGGCTCTGGTGTAGTGGAGACGCCGCTGCCGGGAGCTGGCTCCGCGCCCCTGAGCCTGTGGACCCTGGACTCCCCGGCCACGCCCCTGGACCGGCACCGAAACCGGGCCGCTTTCTCTGCCTTACCCCAGAGGCTGGAAGAGAGCCTCTCTCCCCGGGGTGCTGTGGGCGTTGGGGAGCGAGAGTGGAGGATACCTGGGTGGGTGCCCCGGCCTCTGGGACGCAAAATGCCGGTAGTCCCCCAACCTCACGGCGTTTGTGACAGCCCCTAAACCCTCCTCCCCCGAGCCCCCCAACGTTGGCAGCTCTCCTCCCCAAAACACAGGCCTTGCTTGGAGCTTCGTGGGTTCCAATTCGGCCGCCCCTTTTGAGCCTCCGAGGTTCCTAATCAGTCAACTCTGATACCTGTCTTGCAGGGGGATTGTGAGGATTAGAAATGGCGTGAACAGGGCCTAATATGGAGCTGCTACGTAGTGTTGGAGAAAAAATTACTCATATGCTCGTTGAAGACGGTAAGGCAGAGTTTATTCAGGGGCGCTACTACAACGCGGTTTTGCAGGAGCAGAGAGCAATTGGGCTACACTCTGCAACAGGGAGGAGTGGAAAATTGTAGCCAAGGAGCCTGGTGGGGGGCTGGGAGGGCTCAGTGGATGGAAAATGACTTAAGAGGCAACGTCCGGGGTAAAGGGAACTCTGGCTGAATCGACTTGACTGGAGTTTTGCTGAAGACAGGCCTGGGTGATACGGAATTTGATCGGATATCAGGGCTGGTCAGATACCATGGCTGATGTAGAATTTGACCAACTATCAAAGATGAGGGACTTTCCCTAAACTGGACTCAGCAGGAATCTTGCTAAAACTGGACTAAAAGGGTCAAGGACAGACCTGAAAGGCCAGGCCTAGTTGAAAAGACTGCGGAGCTTGACTAAAGTTTGCTTAAGGAGAGAGTGTTTGTCAGTAGTAGGTACACAGCAAAGGGCTCGTATGCATAGGTATAGTAGGTATGCTTACCTAAGTGTTACATTTGAAGTTCACTCTACTTTGTTACAGTTTTAATAACAACTACACATTTGGGATTACTTGAAATGTTTTTTCATAACAGGAGCAGATACTCATGAAGTCATTGGAATATAAACCACACCCTCTATAAAGATTTAATTTGGAATAATTGAGGCATTTTTCTTAGAATTTTGTTAGGATATAATTACTAAAATCAGATTTAAATATTTTATAAGTTTTCTAGTTTTCCCTAAATGGTATCTAAACAGCTATGTTCATTCAGGAAGCAAATAAATTTGAATAAATCTACCCATTCGTCTCTTGCTATTGGAAATCTTTCTACTTGTTACTTGAAACTCAGGAGCCAGATAGATTTAGACAATGAAGGATGCTTTTATATTTATTCAACATTTATTTAATATTTATTTATAAGATTTTTATTTATCTTAGAGCGTGAGTGGCAGGGGCAGAGGGGGAGAGAACCCCAAAGGGACCCAGCGCTGAGTGCTTGGAGCCAGAAGCAGGGCCGGATCCCAGGACCCCAAGATCATGACCTGAGCTGAAACCAAGAGTCAGCTGCCCAACCAAGTTCACCACCCAGGCGCCCCATTTGTTTATTTAAGTAGATTCCATGCCCAGTGATGCAGGGCTTGAACTCAAAACCCTGAGATCAAGAGTAGGACACTTGACTGACTGAGCCACCCAGGTGTCCCTTATTTAATATTTTAACATATTTATTCAAAACTGTACATTTTTTCTCTAGAACTTTAGTGGTTACCTCTAAATTTTGATATTGTGTTTTCACTATCATTCAATATGAAAACATTTTGATTTCCAGGGCACCTGGGTGGCTCAGTTAAGTGTCTGCCTTCTGCTCAGGTCGTGATCCCGGGGTCCTGGGATGGAGCTCCAAGTCCGGCTTCTTGCTGGGGGTGGGGAGTGGGGGGGGGCAGCCTGCTTCTCCCCTTCCCCCTGCTGCTCCCCTTGTTTATGCTCTCTCTGTCAAATAAATAAATAAAATCTTAGAAAAAAAAGGAAAAGAAAACATTTTAATGTCCATTGTGATTTTTTCTTTGGCTATAGGTTATATTAGTTATTTAATAATTTCCATATATAGGCATTTTCTAGATATCTTTTTGTTACTGGTTTCTAATTTCATTGCACTGTGGTCAGAGCATATAATTTTGAGATTCCAGTCTTTTGAAACTTATTTATGGATATGGTCTGCTTTGGTGAATATTTCATATGAACTTGAAATGAATGTGTATTCTGCACTTGTTGAGTCTGAATGTCCATTAGAATGAGTTTGTTTATAGTGTTCAGATTTTCTGTAGCCTTACCAATTTTTTTTTTTTTTTTTTTTGGTCTTGTTCTATCACCTATGAGGATTTGTCCCTTTAGACCTGATAATAGGTGCATATACGTTTAGGGTTTTGTGTTCTAAATGATTGGACCCATTTATTATAATGAAATGTTCCTCTTTTTTTTTCTTGAAGTCTCTTGGTCAGATACTAATGTAGTCATACCAGCTTTTGTATGCTTGCTGTCTGCATAGGATGTCTTTTCCCCATTGTTTTGTTTCCAAACTTTTGTGTCTTTATGTATTAAATATCTCTTGTAGACACCCTGTGATTGGGTCTTACTTTTCCAAATCTGGCAATCTTATAATTCGAATGTTTAGCCCCTTTACATTTAATGTGATTACTTATATGGTTGGGTGTTAGCGTACCATATTGTCTTTTTTTTCATTTGATCTTTCTGGTTTTTATTCTCTTACTGCATTCTTGGGATAGTGAGTGTTTTTTAGGATCCTTTATTGGTGTTTTTAGCTGTACTTCTTTGTATAATATTTTTACAGCTACCAGTATGTATCTTTAAATTATCAGAGTTTACTTTAACTTATTAGAGTCTACTTTAATATTTGTACCACTTTGTACTAAACAATTTACATTTCTCATTCCTGCCTCTCATTTAACACCTTTACACTTCCAATTTGTCGCCCGATATGTAGCACCACTCACTTCCCACTTCCTATTCCTCATTTAGCAATTCATAAATGTAATAACCTAACAACCGATTAATTCCACTTACCCACTCCTTTGTGCTGTTTTTATATCTTTTACTTTTACTTATTATCTATTTACACACTGTGGTTATTTTTGCTTTTAATAGTTGCCTTTTAAGGAAGTTAGGAGAAGTAAAAGCATAGTATTTCTATATTTATTCACCATATATTTACCATTTTTGGAGATCTTCATTTCTTTCTGTAGATCTGAGTTTCCCTTCAACTGGAAAGGTGTCCTTTAGCATTTCTTATAGTACAAGTCACTGTTGAGGGGCTCTTGGGTGGCTCAGTCAGTTAAACGTCAGCCTTTGGCTCAGGTTGTCCCACGGTTCTGGGATCGAGCCCCATGTCAGGCTCCCTGCTCAGTGGGGGGCCTGCTTCTCTCCCCACGTCCCCCACCCCCTCATGCTCTCTCTCACTATCTCTCTCTGTTTTTCAAATGAATAAATAAAATCTTTAAAAAAAAAATCACTGGTGAAAAATTCTCCTAGCTTATTTATCTGAAAAATGTCTTTACTTTTTTATTAAAATGTAATTATCATACAATGTTATATTAGTTTCAGGTTTACAACATACTGATTCGACAGTTCTGTACATTACTTGGTGCTTATCACAATAACTGTAGTCACCATGCAACATTATTATAATATTATTGACTATATTCTCTATGCTTTTGATCTCTGTGATTTGTTTGATTATACTGTATAACTTGTTATAACTGGAAGTTTTTTATCTCTTAATCTTCTTTATTTATTTTGCTCATAACCCCCACCTCCCTCCCCTTTGGCAAACATCAGTTCTTTGTATTTAAGAGTCTGGTTTGTTGTTTATTCATTTGTTTGCTTTCTTTTCATATTCTGCAAATAAGTGAAATCACAAGGTATTTTTCTCTCTCTGTCAGATTTATTTCACTTAGCATAGTGTCCTCTAGGCCCATCCATGTTGTCACAAATGGTAAGATTTCATTCTTTTTTATGCCTAAGTAATACCCCATTGTATATATACACCATATCTTTATCCATTCATCTAGTAATGGATACTTGGTTTGCTTCCATATCTTGGCTATTGCAAATGCTGCAGTAAACATAGTGGTGCATTTATCTTTTCAAATTAGTGTATTTGTTTTTTTGTATAAATATCAGTAGTGGAATTACTGGATCATATGGTATTTCTACTACTTTAAAAAATTTTTTTAAAATTTAAAATTTTAATTTTTTGAAAAAGATTTATTCATTTGAGAGAGAGTGAATGAGAGACAGAGAGAGAGCAAAAGAGAACACAAGCCAGGGGGAGGGGTAGAGGGAGAAGCATACTCCCCGCTGGGCAGGGAGCCTGACATGAGGCTCGATCCCAGGACCCCGGGATCGTGACCCAAGCCAGAGGCTGACTCAACTGACTGAACCACCCAGGTGCCCTGGTATTTCTACTTCTCAATTTTTTCTGTTTTCCACAATGGTTGCACCAATTTACATTCCCACCAACAGTGCACGCGAGTTCCCTTTTCTCTCCATCCTTGCCAACCTTTGTTACTTCTTATATTTTTGATATTAACCATTCTGAGGTATCATTGTGGTTTTCTTTTGCATTTTCCTGATGATTAATGATGTTGAGCATCTCTTCCTGTGTCTCTTGGCCATCTGTAGGTCTTTGGAAAATTTTCTGACCATTTTTTAATTGGATTGTTTGTTTTTTTGGTGTTGAGTTGTAGAAGTTCTTTGTATAGTTTGGATATTAATTAGTTATATCATTTGTGCATTTCTTTTTCCATTCACTAAGTTGCCTTTTTGTTTTGTTGTTGGTTTCCTTTGCTGTGCAAAAGCTTTTTATTTTGGTGTAGTCCCAGTGGCTTATTTTTGCTTTTGTTTCCCTTGCTTGAGAAGACCTATCTATAAATATGCTCCTAAGGGCGATGTCCAAGAGATTACTGCCTGTGTTTTCCTTTAGGAGATTTATGGTTTCCGGTCTCACATTTCGGTCTTTAATCTATTTTAAGGTAAATTTTGTGTATGGTGTAAGAAAGTGGTCCAGTTTCATTCTTTTGCATGTAGCTGTCCAGTTTTCCCAGCACCACTTATTGAAAAGACTGTCTTTTCCTTATTGTATATTCTTGCCTCTTGCATTGTAAATTAATTGACCGTATGGATGTGGTTTTATTTCTAGGCTCTCTATCATGTTCCATTGATCCGTGTGTCTGTTTTTATGCCAGTACCATACTGTCCTAATTGCTTTGTAGTCTATCTTGAAATCCTGGAACAGAGACACCTCCAGCTTTGTTGTTTCTCAAGATTGCTTTGGCTCTTTGTTGTCTTTTGTGGTTCCATGCAGATTTTAGGATTATTTTAGTTCTGTGGAAAATACTGTTGGTATTTTGATAGGGATTGCCTTGAATCTGTAGACTGTTTTGGGTAGTATGGGCTTTTTAAACATATAATTCTTTCAGTCCATGAG